ATATCTTTGTGCTCACAAGTCAAGAAGTCATGGTCTTTTGGAAGAGTCATGTTACCTTCTTTTTCCCCATGCTTCCTTGCTGTGGTGTAACATCTGTTGGGATCTGCATCACTTCTGATTTTATTTAGGTGTTTGCTTAGTGAGCAGCCTTTCCTCAAGGGCTCAATCTCTAGTAGCACCTAGAGAGAGAGTTAGTCATAAACATAGAAGAAGTCTCTAGAATGGAATGATCTGTTTCCTAAGTCTGTTTTCACAGTGGAATGACCAACTTGCAGTCCAAACAAAGGACAGATGGAGTAAAAAAGTAAAAAGAGAAAACACGTTTCTTTCTCCATAAGGCAACCAGAAATATTTGAGACTAGATAAGGAAGTCAAGGATGTTCTATGTCCATGTAAGGCAAGAGTTGGAAGAGGATGTAAAGAAGCTCAATGTGTGTGTAAGATGATCACATTGAACTACGTCATCAAAAGGCAGAGGACAGGAGAGGAAAGCACCATAAGAATGTGACAAAAATATTGATAGCAAAAGGCTATGTGGTCAGTTAGACAAAACAATGAGTTTGGTCAAAGAAAGGCTCCTTGACATCTCCAGGAGGGAGACACACCGTGGAAAATCAAACCATGTGGATATTCGATGCTCATGAACTTGAGTTCCGTAGTAACTGATCTTGTTTTATGAATTCTTCTGCTCTTGGTTATGATAAGTAAATTACTACCCCTTTCCAAACTTCTACTTTCTATACCTAAAATTTTAAATTATCTTACAAAAGATTTATTTATTTTTATTTTATACGTATGCACATTTTTTCTTGCATGTATATATGTGTACTGCATACCTGCCTTGTTCCCTTAGAGGCCAGAAGAGATCCCCTGGAACTAGGGTTACAGGTAGCTGTAAGATGCCATGTGAGTTTTGGGAACTGAATCAAGGACCTCTGCAAAAGCATCAAGTGCTCTTAACTGCTGACTCACCACTCTAGAACCTCTCTATGTTATCTTATGTGGCAAAAAGTCACATGAGCCCCAGAAATTGACTCACATAGCTTAGAGAGCTATGCTAGGAGAAGGAGGCGGCATGTGAGGTTTGGGAAAAGTTCAGTCCATCATTATTGGCTTTGAATTTGGGAAAAGAAGGCCATGAACCAAGGAATTTGGATTACTTCTAGAGGCTAGAAATGGTCCTCACTTGACAGTCAGTCAGCTGAGAACTGAGGAGTTTAGTTTACAGTCTCAAAGGACAGAATTCTGCCAACAGACAGATACTGGAGCAGTCATGACCCATCCTCATTGACAATTAATAGGAATAAATTCTCAAATGGATTTCCTTTACATATGACACTGATCTTCTTCTCAGAGGAGACTGCCTTCAAAGTAACTAACCGGACATTGAAAGTCCTGTCCAGTGTTTGCTAACTGTCTCAGTTATGTATGTATATTTATTCTATTTAGGTTGTTTAAATGAATAGGAAGGAATTACCAAGTCTATACAGTGATTTCTACCCTGCTCGTGCCCTGGATTAATAAGAAAGAAGAGGCAGGAGAATGTATAATTCTGAATTATTGTTTTCACTCTGTCTGAAGTTACCCTCTAAGTTTGTCTATTTGAGGATTTGTTTGACTGAAAGAATGTTCATAATAGTGCTCACAACGCCAACAGCTTTTACGGTTTGCCTCCCTACAGCTAAGTGACAAGAGTTTACAGCTGAGAGAGAAATGTCTACAGCTAAGTGAGAAGTATCTTGGTTCACATAGCCACAATTTTTTTTTTTTTGAGACAAGTTCTCATTAGTTCAGGCCTTACTCTGTAGACCAGGCTGGACTTAGAGATCTGCCTCTTGAGTCTGAGACTAAAGGTGTGTGTTACCATACCTAACTAGTTATAATTTCTTAAGGGACAAGTGCCTTTTCCCAAGTGATTCGTTTTTCATCAGCATTTAAACAGGAACCTCCACAGCATTTAAAAACTGAAAGTTAGTGATCTCATCCTGTTTCCATTTCAAAATACTGAAGTTACTATCCACTCCAAAAGTGTGGGTCACACATTGTGTCTCCTGATCGTCGGCTTTCGCTTTTAATGCAGGGGCTTTCTTGTAATTGTGCTGACTTTGTCATGGGTATAAAAAGATCATTTGATTATTTCATGTTCTATATTTATCTGTGATACTGTACCCAGCTATGAAACACTATGGGTTTTTTTTTGAGGACTTTGAGCAATAATAAAATCTAATTAGATTTAGAGAGTATTTGGAAGCCCAAATAAGAAACAACTCAAATGCTTCGGTTCTTTTGCGTTGCTCTAACAAGATAAGAAAGGCTGATGCCTCAGAGGAAACCGTTGTCATGGTTTATGGTTTGGGGAGGAAAAGCCCAAGACAGGTAGCCACATCATGTGGCACCGTGACCTGCAGATTGTACAGTGTGGTGGGAACACATGTAAGAGCAGCGTGTGTCGGTGCACGTGTGTACAGAAGAAAGACCAAAGAAAGGAACGGGCTTCATAACAGCCTCTGTATCCAGTGCCAATCCCTGAGACCCAACTCACTCCCAAGGTACTTACTAATTCTCCCAAGTGTGGCTCCCATGACCAAATTCCCTCCAACAAGGCTACCTACTTGCCCTTATCCCCACATTGTGCTTCTAAGCACATGAACTTTAGGGGTGATGCCACGTTGAAACCAGGGCATCAAATAAACCAAGAATGCTTAACCTGAGAATAGGTCTACGGAGGATACAGAGCTTGCCCACAAATACCCAAAGGAGGCGCTGTCTCTACCTGCAAAGACCAGACTCAACATTGTACCCAACACGCATCTTAGCAAGGGAAGTTGTGAGGAAATAAGAGGAGCCTGTCTAAGCTCTCTTCACATTGTACAGAAAAAAATGACTTCTGCTTCCTCCCAACTGCTTCACGAATTGCTTCCTGCCACAGACACCTGGAAACCAGACAAAATGAGAGTGAAACTATTGTTTCGAGACCTTGGGCATCAGCAACAGAAAGATACAACCGTTATTCAGAGCAGAGAAAAAGCGGCATTGTGATTAATCACAGTTCACTGTCTGTAGTCAGTGAGCAAGCTCTGAGAAGGTAGGGGGGTTCCTGTTACCCCAAACTAGGAAAACAGATCAAGAAAGGAATCCTAAAAGAATATCATGTGAACACAGATCACAAAAAAATCTTAACAAAATAAGAAATTAACGTGTAGTAACATATTACAAATATATTACACTGTGATAGAGTAGAACATAGTCTAGGAAAGAGGAGAGTTGAACATTCAAAGCCCCAGAAGTGATAGTCATTAACAAACAGACTAAAAAAAAAAAAAACCATGTGGTCATGGCAATGGATATGAAAAAACATTTGACAAAATTAATTAACACCCATTCATAATTTTAAAAGAGAAAGAAAAATTTTTATGAACTAGGAATTCAAGGGGAATATCTGAAAACCACAAAGGAAATCTACCAAAATTGCTCGGATTGCATCATAGTGATAAAGGGCAAATTGCTTTTCCCCTAAGACTGGGAGGAAGGCAAAGATGCCCATGGTTATGGGTTTTGTTCAGCATTGTGCCGGATGTCCTAGCCAGTGTGAAAAGAGAAAGGCTTACAGATTGGAAAGGAAGGACAAAAAACTCCATCTTTGAGGCAGATAACATGATCGTGCCTGCAGAAAGCCTTTAGGACAATTAGAACTAATAAGTGAGAGTAACAAAGTCTTGCAATGCAAGGTCAAAAACAATTGAGGTCAATTATATTCTATATACAAAAATAAATACTGAATAAATGTTTAAGTACAGTTTCTAGGATCATCACATAATAATAAGACATTGTTGACAATACATTCAACATAACATATGCAAGTCCTAAAACTCTACATTACTGTGGACAGAAATTGTAGACCTAAGTAAATGGAAACATGCACTGTGTCCAAGGATTTGAAGACAAAATATTGTTGATACTCTTTTCTCCCAATTGATCAATGGATCAAAGCAATCTAAATCAAATGCCTGGGAAGACTCATCAGTAAAATTCAATGGCTGGCTCTATAGAAATATGTAAGAATGCAGATAATCCACAGCAGGCAAAACAGTTTTGAAAATTTAGGACAAAAGTGGATCCGGCAGGTGATAAAGCCATATAATAGCACTCAGGAGGGGGAAGCAGAAGGATTGAGCTTGAAACAACCTGGGCTCCATAATAAGACCCTATCTAAAAAAAAAGACACTTACCAATCTTTCTGCTAAAACAGTGTAAATCTTGTTCATGGATATACTTCCATGCAGAGATGGTCATTTTTAAATATGCACACATGTAATAAAGAAGTTACGGGAAGTATTCAGGAAGACTCTAGTACAGCCTGAGTCACAAAACCATCAGGGTACTGGTGAATGGTTCCTGTGTTTTCCATGGATGCCCAGAAGACTAATCCATGAGTCTCTGAGTGGGACAGTAGTATTAACAAACCATCCATCAATCTGGAGGAATTTGAACCCCAAATTACATTAGCAGTAAGTCCATTCAGAGAGCAACCAGGTCTTTGGAGACCTAGCTGTCTGGAGGTTTCCTACTTTAGCCTGTCCCTGCAACAATACATCTGTATGGTTTGTCAGCACCATCTGGCTAACCCACGTAGGCATTATTAGCACTGTTAGCTCTGAATACCTTTCACCTACCTTCTAAACCTACTTAGATTTCAAATTTTGGAAACTCTTTTCTGGTCATTAAAAGACTGGCAAAATTGAATGTGTTACCCCCATGCCCCTCCATTTCAGTGAGGATAGCGCTAGATGGGGGTGGGATTATATCCAACATTTGAATTTAAGACACAGTCATCTAAAAAAAAAAAAAAAAGGCTTTTACCTTGGAGTTGCCCGGAAGGCCTTCCCAGCCCACAGTCATAATTTCTCTCTGAGAGCCAGGAATTTGAAGCCTCTTCCTGTCCCCTATTTCCGCATCTATAAGGAACACAGCTTCTGAAACTGTTTTTTGATCTCTTTCAGTAATCATAATGGAGAGCGAAGGGAGCGACAGACTGGAGAAAGGTGAGTCCCGCCTGCAGCACGACTGAAAGAGGTTCGAGGCCCCTCGTGCCTGTCTGTCACGCACACAGGCTTTAATCTGAAGCATGCTGGGGCTCACGACAAAAGCTGGACAGGGAAGGCAGCAAGGCAAGAGAGGCCGTAAAGGCAAGTGGCTGTGAGCAGATGGCAGCCTCTAATGCCCAGTGCCCTGAGGACATGCTGAGTCAGTCAAGGTCATGCCAAGTCAGTCAAGGTCAAGGACTAAGCAAAGCCCAGGGTTGTGATGTGGCAGACGTAGCCCATATCTCATTCACCTTGGCAGCTTCAGCACCTAACAGTGACCAAACTAGTGAGCCCCTTGTATATACAGAATGAATAAATGAAGAAGCAGGCAATAGTAGCATGTTCCCTTTAGTTTCTGTGCCTTTATACCTGCTGTGCCCACCACTTGGCTTCTTCTACCACTTCTTCTCCCTCATCCTTCAGCACTTTCTTCAAAACCTTTCCCTAAACTTAATCATGTCCACCTGCTATAGAGGCATATGGCTCCTTGCTTACATATCTGAGATTACCTTAGGAAACACTATTAACTGAACTCTAGAAGGTAGATGTCATGGTAGCTGATAGGACTGTTGTACTTCTGACCCTAGCATCCAGCACAGTGCCAGGAATATCTGAAATTTCTGGTGACCAGTCCTCAGACAACATGACACAGTTGAGTTGTCTATTCTTCATCCCCAGCGAGAAGCTGGGAGCTCAAGAATGCCAAGGCCTTGATTGCCTGGCCGCAGATTGAAGCACCCTATGAAAGAGCCTGGCTGAAGAGACAATATAGTAACCTCAGGATGCAGAGGCCACACGGAGCTCAGAACTAATCAGGTACTGGCAGCAAGACTCGCTCCAAGACTCCTGGATGGAGAGCCAAGTTATTGAGGTGCTACTGGCCCTCTAAGACTTGGTTCTGAAATATTCTGTAAGGGCATGCGAAAGGAAGGCATCAAGGGTCAGCACCGTGGCAGGGTGAGGACCCAGGCCAGGTGAAAGATGAATACTTAGGTGACAGTGTGGCCTGGCTTTCTTTCCTTCTGCATTCTCATCCTCTGTGTCAATGCTATTTTGTATTGATTGACGTTATAATGGTCACCTAAATATATCTTATGTTTGAAATCTACCAAAAGAAAACGGTCCTATTGTGAAATCTCACTCAGTCTCTTGTCTTTCTGTTTTTTTGTTTTTGTTTTGTTTTTCCAGAATAGACATCTGTGTACCAGAAATAAGAAGCTCAGCATTGTTCACAATCCCAAACCACCCTCAGATGACCCGAGAACTACACTTGATTAAAGAACACAATTCATCATCGTGTCCATACTTTATCCCTTTTCCTTTCTGAACTTTTGGACAACCTCTTTGATTTTCCAGAAAACGAGAGACTATAGTTATTAGGGAAGGTGGAGCTCTGAGACTCCCTCTGGGTGGAAAAAGTTCCCCATCATTCCAGCTCTGTCTCCTGTGCCAGGAGCAGACACTAATTCTGTCTTGCTTTGTTTGACTCGGTTCACACTCAGGCCTAGGACACTGAAATGGCTCCATGCTGGGGAATGACCTTTTGGATCAACCTCTCCCACTGCAGATCAGATTCCTCTCCTAACTTTGCATAGTGCGTTTTTATATGGAACCCCTTGTTGTCGGAATACTGGCTTTTATCTGTCTTGAATTCTAAAGTGATAGCCCACTTCATCTCGTATCCTTGGATGTGAACAAAACTACCTCTTCAGTCAGAATAGGAATGGTGTATTTAATGACGTTGTTTGATGTGTTCATGTTAGTATGTTAAAATAGAAAAGCATGTCTACTATCGTAGCATAATTACTATGCTCTAGAAAAGAAAAACCCACCACTTATAAAGAACACTCATCCCTCTGTCCAGATCAGTAATAAATACGATGACCAAAGTAATGCACAGGTAACAGCACAGAATTCACAATGCTGGGAGATCGAGGAAACCAGCAATGGAACCATCCGTGGATCCAGGGACCACTCCTGTCAGGGCTGCTGCTGATATTGGGAGAATCCACCCAATCAGCGAGCAATTAACAAGCTTTTGCAGGCAGCACTGAAAAAAGCAAGATGCCCTGAGTCCTTTTTGTCCTCTTGAGAAAAATGGGATGCTGGTGGTGATGGTCTGGAGACAGCTGTACAAGGACAAGATAGCAAAACACTCAAAACAAGAGGAAATTAATAGAGTCCAACCGACAATGCTCATAGAAGGATTGAAGATCTCCCCAGTCCTTGGACAAGTCCAGAAGCCAGGGACGGATGGTATGTCACAATGGATGTAGACAGAAATTGCCTTGGTGGTGAACAGTCTTTTGATGATCCCCATGCTTCATCCAACTGGAGACAGAGTTCGGGAGAAGAGCAATCACTGTGATGAAATGAGGGAGGAAGGCTAGGACTCTTTCAGCTCACGGTTTGAATGGAATTAGGAAAAGCAGAAAGCACAAGGGTACCCTAGTCTGCAGATGTCCCAGCAAGCATATGTTGGCTCTTCAAATAAGGACTTAAGCAACTGATGCTGAAGACAATGACAGGAAAACTATGTACAGGAGAGAAATAGCCTTGTAGAAAAGTGGTAGAACATGGTGTGTTGATAAGCCATGGAGTAATCACCATCCAAACTTAAAGAGAACTTTGGGGAGTTCAAGCAGCAAAAATTGTTCTTCATATTTTACATAAAGGGCCGTGGAGGGCTGTAGACTGTTCTGCTGGTGAGAGGCTCATGCTTGTAATGCTTCCATTCATACGTCTTGCCCCTGCCTGTGCAGGCTCTTAGGACTGACCGATTAATAACATGTTCTGCACAGAGTAGATTCTAATAAAGTTTTCTGGGTTTTATTCATGTTTACTTTTTTTTAAACTTCCACATCAATAGTACCATTATGGGCCAAAATTCCTACTCACTGTTCACCTCTCTGTGACTAAAAGCCTTGTATCTGGGACCTCTGAGTACCAGCCTCAATGTCCCATCAGGGTTCAGAAAAAGACTCACAGCAAGCACAGGACTTAGAAGGATCTGAGGGTGAAAATGATCTCTCCACTATGTACTTTTCTGCATCAATTTCTTTATTTTTTTGCTGGTCTCTTCCTGTTCTGTAAAGTTTCCTGTTTATGTACACACAAAACAAAGGCAGTTCTCCGAGCTTGGACATTTCTTTATCTTGGAAGGTCCCAAATGTGATCTATATGAAAGACTCCTTTCCTGGCTGCATGTCCTGCCAAATGGACGATAGTTTTAGGGAGGTGGCTTCTAATGTATCTCAGGGAACAGAATGGAGATATGGCTATGGAAACCAAGGTTTCTAGCTCTGTGACTAAATTCTCTCATTGGAGGTCTCATGGGGTAGGGAGAGCCATCCAGTAAGCACAAAAGAAGAAGGCGGGCTTTTAAATGTCCACAGTCCTTGTGGGACAAATACATTCAGTTATGAAGCAAGTCCCAGTATATATTCTATATATTAGAACTATATAGCTGAATGAAGATTCATCTGCCTGACCACCCACAGATATCTGTGGTGTGAGAGAATTGTCTGTATTCTGTCAATCATGTTTTAAATAAACGCTGATTGGCCAGGCAGGAAGTATAGGTGGGTCAACCAGACAGGAAGTAGAGGCAGGGAGATGAGAACAGGAGAATTCTGGGAAGGACGAAGCCCATTTCTCCCAGTCCTGCTCAGACCGTGGAAGAAGCAAGATGTAATCTGCCCGGCTGAGAAAGATACCGAGCCATGCAGTTAACGTAGATAAGAACAATGGGTTAATATAACTTATAAGAGCTAGCAAGAAGCCTGAGCTAATGGGTCAATCAGTTTATAATCTTATGGAGACCTTTGTGTGATTTTCTTTGGGGCTTGCTGGTTGTGGGGTACCAGGCGGGACAGAAACCCCAATTAGCAGGCCCCTCATGTTACATATCTGTGCCCATAAGATTGAGATGCAAACATGGGATTCCATATGCACATCACATGAGATGACACACTACGGTGCAGGTATTGAGAAGACACCAAGCTGCCTCAGCAAAAGTGAAAGCTTCAGCAAAAGTGATCAACAGCTTTTAGAATTGATGACCCTGCAGACCTTGTCTGGACAGGATTGCTCCTTCATCAGATAACCATGTGTCTGCTGGGTTGATGTCTGAACACTAGTTAACATCTGCTTCTCATGGCTGTGATAATATCGGATTCCTCCCAAATCCTCTTTTCCTTCCTTCTTCTCTATACATTGTACAAGAGATGAGGTTTGTGTTTGCTTAAACGTATCTCTCCATAACGAGACATCTTTAAAAACTGAGTAAGACTGACTTCCTGAGTGTCAGTAGGGAACCTCAGAATAAGGAAACAACACTTACTTTTTGGCTTGTAACTTTTCATACTGAGAGAATTTTAAACTATGACCATATATGCATGTTCAGCAAAAACTTTATGCATAAAAGGTTTCCTGGAAACACCCTGATTTTAAAATAATAATATAAAAATGTATGTCACACAAAAATAATGTGAAGAAAAGGGAACAATATTCCATTATAGGAAAAAGTGTGGGGCAGGGGGAGGGGAGGCAAGGCTGTGTCTGGCTCCCTCATCAGGGGGACACAGGTACTGTAGACAGTGCCCCAAAACACAGTTATCTGAAATCTCAATGAAACACATCTTTCAGTGAAAATATCTCTCTTTGTATATTAAATTCTCTAGACCTGTTGTGCTCCAAGTCTGGGCGGGATGGGGGGCAGATAGTAAAAAAAAGAGTTGGAGGAGGCCATCGGGGAACCCTACTAGCTAGCATTGCCTGTTTGCCATGTGCTCAGTTCTTCCAAACTTTCTCAATTACTATTGTACCCAGTCCTCAAGACAACTCTGAGATGCAGGTCGTGGGATAGTGTACCCAGTTTGCTCAAGAATAAATCTAAGCCCAGAGATGTCAGGGTAATTTAGTATCTGTTGTTAACCTTCTCCTACTTAGTCCCCTACCCCATATACACCCCCCCCCCCACGTGCTCCGCTCTAGACGAGGTGGTATTTTGCTTGTCTTGGGTTGACAGCATATCCCACATCCTGTGTGACACAACCTCAGCCCCTGGAGGTGGCCACTCCAGAAATCAGAAGCTGCGGCTACAGAGGCGCACGAGGCGATGAGTAAAAGGAGCTTTGGTCACAGGGAAAGTGAAGTGTCTTTGCTGTCCCACACCGCTCCCTCTACCCCCATTTGTGAGTCTGTTGAAATCCGCCCTTCCTCTGCCTCCCTCTGCCATGCTGAGGTCACTTTCACCACGCAGTGTCCTCCTGTTTCCTAACCTAAGCTTGAAAGTCAAGAGTCATCTTCGATACCAACCCTCTGGCTTCTCCCTCAGAAACCACTTCCAAACCTACCCTCCCACTCACCACCAGATCAGAAAGGCACCTCTTTAGCATGGGCCCTTGTCTATTCGGTCCAAGAGCCACACGACTGATCTGTCTGTCTATCTCATTGTACTCTAACCAAAATGCCCAAAAGAATGACATCATCCTCTCATTCCTTTCTCACTACCCAGGCCACTCTACTCTTACAAGCCTTACCATGGACACACTCAACCTTCTAATTTGCGTGTGTGCATGTATTCATGTGTGTGTGTGTGTGTGTGTACTTGTGTGTGTTCATGTGTGTGCTCGTATGTGTGCATGTGTGTGTACATGTGTGTATGTGTGATTGCTCATGCACATATGCACCCTTTATTCAGGCATATTTGGCTTTATACTACACTCAGAAGAAGATAAAAGGTTTTTGCTAAGATGACTACGAAAAAACTCAATCTCACATGGGACCTCATAGCAGCTGTGGTATGGTTACCTGCACAACATTTCAGCACGTATGGAGAGGGCGGTCTGAGGCCCCAGTCCTAGTTGAAGAGCTATGGGAAATTGCTGGTTCCTGGAGGAGAGAAAGGACCTTTCTTTGTGGGGGTGGCCATTGGTAGATTTTCCAGGTTCCAGTGGATGATTCCCACTCATGTGTATACAGGAAGCCTTAATTAGACTCGGTGTATTAAAATAAATGTATAAATAAATAAATAAATGAAAAAATAAAAAAGGCACGTGACAGCAAAAAGAAATGGTCATGTTAATATAATATCCTGATTCAAACAGATCTGGGTTCAAATCTAAATCACCTTGGATAAATTACTCAACTTGTTCATGTATAAAATGGAGTAATGGCAAAACCCCATACATCTCTGTTGTATCAATTGTCATTTCTGTCACACTGTTGGTGCAATGGTTAGCTTCAGTCTATCACACTGTTGGTGCAATGGCTAGCTTCAGTCTGTCACACTGTTGGTGCAATGACTAGCTTCAGTATATCACACTGTTGGTGCAATGGCTAGCTTCAGTCTATCACACTGTTGGTGCAATGGTTAGCTTCAGTCTGTCACACTGTTAGTGCAATGGCTAACTTCAGTCTGTTACACTGTTAGTGCAATGACTAGCTTCAGTCTGTCACACTGTTAGAGCAATGGCTAGTTTCAGTCTGTCACACTGTTGGTGCAATGACTAGCTTCAGTCTGTCACCTTAATGCAGTCTAGAATAACCTGAGAAGAGTCTGAATAAGAGATTGCCAATGTTGGGTAGCCTGTGGGGACTGTCTTAAATTAATTTATATGTGAAGATCCAGCCCACTGTGGGCAGCACTGACCCCTAGGCAGGGCCTCCTGGATTATGGAAGAGTGGAGAAACTGAGCTGAGCACAAGCGAGTGAGCAAGCGTGCGTGGGTCCATTTCTCTCTGTTCTTGATGGCGAAGTGAGGTGACTGGAGCCTCAGCCTCTTTCCTGTCGTGATGAACTGCAGCCTAGCACTGTGAGCCAAAGTAACCCCTCCTCCCCTAATTTTCTTTCTCTCAGATTATTTTATCACAGCGACAGAAATGAAACTAGAACAGTGAGGGATCTTTTTTTTTTTTTTTTTTTTAGTAAATTTTATTAAATTATAAAAGTTTCCATTTCCGCCCCTCTTCCCAACACCCTCCCACTCCCCCCACTCCCTCTCCTCCTCCCTCTTTGTCCCTTAGGGCAGTCAGGGTTTCCTGCCCTGTGGGAAGTTCAAGTACCTCCCCCCTCCCTCCAGGTCCAGGAAGGCGAGCGTCCAAACAGACTGGATCCCCAAAATCCAGCATATGCAGAGGAAACAGGTCCCAGTGTCATAGTCAATGGCAATTCAGAAAGACCCCGGGCCAGCCACAGTCAGAGAATCCGGCCAAATTCCGAGAATCTGGCTAGATCACGTCCTCGTTCAGTCCCAGTCCGACTGGCCCTGGTAAATTCTCATCAGATCCGTTCCCTTGTATCAGTGGGTGATAGCATCCCTCGCAGTACTGATTTCGTCTTTCATGTTCCTCCTCCTTCCGCTCCCCCTCCGGACCTCGGGGGGCTCAATCCGTTGCTCCAATGTGGGCCTCCGACTGCATAGCCGTCCTTCGCCAGCCGAAGGATCTATGGTGATAAGCAAAATATACATCAGTATGGTCATGGGCCACGGCCGATTCAGGCACCCTCTCCTCTGTCCAGAGAACAATCTGGGGGATTTCTCTTTGGACCTGGGATCCCATATATAATCAAGTCTCCTGTAAACCCTAAAATGGCTCCCTTAGTTGAAATATATTGTTCCCTGATCCCATATTCATCCTACCTCCCTCCCCCCCATCCCCGGCCACCAAGCTTTCCCCGTTCCTCCCCTACTCCCTTCTCTCTAGCCCTCTCCCCTCCATCGACCCTCCCACCCCCCCAAGCACCCGAGGTTACCTGGAACTCTTGTCTGTTTCCTACCTCCTGGAGGATAGCTAAATAATCTTCATCAGGTTCATCTTCTTATTTA